CTAACCCTCACGCCCCTCAGACAACTGAAGGTCTCTGGCCAGGGGCGGCTCCCCAGTATGGTCTGAAGGCCTGAGGCCAAACAGGTCAGACTGTCCAAGCCTGTGGGAGCGAAGGACCTCTTTCCTCTCCTCTCCCACTCTGTCCCCCTCGGTCTCCACTCACAATGTGGGGCACAGCTGGAAGGGGCAGTGCATCTGGGGCGAACCTGCACATGTTACGGACTCCGATGGGACCCTACCCTGATGCCGGCTGACTCTCAGCCACCTTGCTCCTCCCCCCCCTCCACCTTTTCCCTTTGTTCCCATGGGTCCAGCCACCATCTTGATCTACAGACAAACACATTCCTATGCGTCTGAGAGAATCCACCAATTCCATATACCAGTCATGGTTCAACAAGAATTCCAGCCCATATCATCAGAGGGTCCCCTCCCCCTAAATCCCATGGCCCGGGCCACCAAGGAATTTCACTCAAATCGCCTACCAGCACGTTAATCTAATACCATGCTCTGGTCTGTCACTGCACAAAATCCCTGCTGGACCCACAAGTCTAGGGAGGGGCAACACCCCTGCCCCCACCCCCCACCCCCCTCAGCATGAAGCCGCTACTGAAGATGAGATCTCTGCCCTAAGGCCAAAGATTTGTCACTGTCCATCTGTCAGTGGGGAATGTAGAGGCTGCTTTTAGGCAACAGGCTTGAGCACTGGAAACCCAAGTAAGGCCAAAGGGCCCATGGTGACCCCCTGGCTGAAAGCAAACAGGCCCATTAGGGGACCCACCTCAAAATATCCATAAGCCCCAGCTAACCAATGGGCTACTTACAACCAGGCACAGGTACCAAAAAAACTAAAATTCCACGTGTTCCCCTACCTCCTCACTACCCCCCCTTAACTACAGCGCCCCACCACTGCCTCCTGGCAGACAGTCTCTCCTTTGCTGTCCTGATTTGATTCACACTGGACATCTTTGGCATCCCTTGCAGTGTATCCAATAAACTTCTATCGAAAGAAAAAGGAAAGAAAGGAAAGAAAGAAAGAAAAGAAAAGAAAAGAAAGAGAGAAAGAAAGAAAAGAGTTGCCTCCCCAACATAGTACATCACTGATGATTTATGCTTCTTGCATTTACTGTTCACACCTACCACTCCAGCCTCTACTGTGAGAAGGAAGACAGCCAGGCCTACCCTGCTGAGTCAAAAGAACCTCAGCCAGAGGCACAGATGTTGGATAAGCTGGTCAGCACTGGAGGCCTGACCCAGGAGAACACACAGCTGCTACAGGCTCTGGAAAATTCCAATCACACAGGCCAGGGAGCCACGGCAAAGGGCAAATAGCAGCGTGAGGATGGTAACACCGTAATTTTAAAAGCATAAATATAATAAGTCAGTGCAGTCCAGTATGTAATAGCATCACCAACTAAACCTATCCCAAACGGACCCCTCTTGCAGTCGGCCATGTCACGCCCAATCTAGGGGAAATCCTGCCAGTGCTGCCTTCTAAACAAATCTACTGGGTATTCATTACTGAAGGGAAAAGGAAAGGTTCTGTTAGTGGTCACCACCTTAACCAAGGGATCCAAGTTACCATCACAAACGACGGAACAAACAGACATCAGGAGCCCCCTGAGGTGATGTCCTTAGGACACATCATCATGTGTGTGGTGTTCTTGCCAAAGATGCTCAGTGTGAATCAAATCAGAGGAAGCAATCAGAAAACTACAAATTGTGAGACACTATGGGACAACTGGCTTGGATTCTTCCAAATGTCAACGCCATCAAAAAAAAAAACAAGAAAAAACATCAGTAGAGCAGGATCAGCAAACTTCTTCTGTAAAAGGCCACAGAGTCAATATTTTATTTATTTTTTTAATTTTTATTTATTTTTTTATTTAATTGAGAGAGAGAGAGAGCACAAGAGGGGGTAGGGTCAGAAGGAGAAGCAGACTCCCTGCTGAGCAAGAAGCCCGATGCAGGACTTGATCCTGGGACTCCGGGATCATGACCTGAGCCGAAGGCAGTCGTTTAACCAACTGAGCCACCCAGGTGCCCCAGAGTCATTATTTTAGATTTGTGGGCCATGAAGCCCATCTCTGCAGCCACAGACAATATGCAAACCAATGGGTGTGGCTGTGTGCCAATAAAACTTTATTTACAAAGACAGGCAGTGGGCGGGATTGCTAAGCCAACTGTAGATTAAAGGATATTAAAGAGGCATGATAATCAAATGCAGTGCATGATCCTTGAACAGACCATAGATTAAAAAAAATAATAAATAGCTAAAAAGGACATTTTGGGAATAACTGGAGAAATCAGAATGTGAGCTATATATTAAATATTAGTTATATTTTAAATAATATTGGTATCAATACCATTATTACCAATGTTAAACTTTTCAGGTGTGATATTGGTGCTGTGTTATATACGAGAATGTCTTTGTTCTTAGGAGACACCAGCTAAAATATTTAGGAGTAAAGTGCTATGTCCACAACTTACTTTCAAATTGTTCAGAAAAAAAAAAAAGTGTGTGTATACATATGCAAACGCATCCATATCCGAGAGTGAAGACAAAGCAAATGTGCTGGAAGCTAATAACTGATGAACTAGGTGGTGAAGGGTACGTAACTGATGACTGTACCATTCTTCCTTTTATTTTTTTTAGATATTTTTTATTTATTTATTTGACAGAGAGGCAGAGTTATTTATTAATTTTTAGTAATCTCTACTCCCAACATGGGGCTCGAACTCATGATCCCGAGATCAAGTGTCACATGCCCTTCTGACTGAGCCAGCCAGGCTCCCCTATACCATTTTTTCTTCCAACTGTTCTGAGGGTCTGACACTTTTTTTAAAAGGGGGAAAGAATGTCTCCAGAAACTGACCCCTCCTCCCCACTCACCTGCCACCTGGAGTACTGGGGTCACCTCCTCCCTACATCCAACCTCACCCTATGATTGCCAAAGGGATCCTATTAACATATGCCTCAGACCCTGTCCCTCTGCTGATACCCTCCAGTGAGTCCCATCCACTCAGGAGTAATGCCAAACAAAGCACCGCAGGGTTCCACAGGCCCTGCACAATCTGCCTCTCTCTCCACCGGCTTCCTCTCTCCTCAGTCTCCACTCAGCCCCTTTGCTCAGCCACACTGGCCTCCTCGCCATTCATCAAACCTACCAGGCAAACTCTCACCTCAGGGCCTTTGCGTGTGTGAGAATGCTTTTTCTCAGATACCTGCACTGCTGGCTCCTTCCTCTCCTCCTCATATTCTCCCTGAGGTCTCCCTGACACCCTATCTAAACTTCCAACCTTCCCCCAGACAGTCCTCTTTTTGCAACCCTAATGTTTTCTCCAGAGCAAGTACTACTAGCTAATATAATTCATATTTTAACTATTTATTTTGTTTATTGGCTGGCTACCCCCCACCCCGTCCCCGCCCCAAGAATGTAAAATTCCCAAGGACAAGATTTTTTGCCTTTTCTTCTTTTCTGTATCCTCATCATCTACACAACGGCCATATCTCGGTGCCACCCACTGATTTAACATTTTATATCCATTTACTCCTCACAACAACATAAGTATTATTTACAGCATAAATGCACATAGAGCCTATACACAAAGCGGGAATAATAACAGTGCCTACCTCATAATTTGTGAGGATGTAATGCTGGAAGGCCTGTGAAGTGCTTAGCATACGGCCTGGCACAAAGCCGAGTGCCCACTAAATGTTGCTATTATATAATACCCATTGTACAGAAGAGAAAAACCGAAGTTCCCAGGGGATAAGTGACTCGGCCAGGGAGTCGTGGGGCCCAGATTAGAATCCATGTCAGTCCGACCCAAGAAGCCACTTTCTACACCAAGGCGCTAAGGTTTGGGGGAAAGGCAGTGGCAGGAAACAGAAACTAGCTCTGGGAATCCAGAGTGCAGGACTCAGGCACTGATTCTTGGCATAAACTCCACGTGTGACCTGAGCAATTCACTTCTGGTCTCGAGGCCTGTTTTCTCTTCTATAAAGTGGGGAAGTCATTTCCCCTCCCTAACGTGGGGACAAAAACAGAGTGAGGGTCAAAGGAGAGCGGATAGGAGGGCAGTCTGGTAACTGCGAAATCCGACGTTTCGCCATTCTAGGATCTGCACCTCTGGCAGAGGCCCCACAAAACACCAAAGGACCAAGGATTCTGCAAACTTTAAGCACCCACACTTATAAGGAAAAAAGGTACGGGGGCGGGGGGGAGGATGGGTTAGCCTGGTGATGGGTATCAAAGAGGGCACGTTCTGCGTGGAGCACGAGGCGTTATGCACAAACAATGAATCATGGAACACTATACCAAAAACTAATGATGTAATGTATGGTGATTAACATAACAATAACAATTTTTTAAAAAAAGTACGCTCCCCTTAGCCATTTAGCCTTTGAGCATGCTCCCCGCTCTCCCTCGACATCAGCCCTGCTGTCTGGGGAGATTCTCCTCACCCTTCAGGTCGAGCCCAGAGGTCTCCTCTGCCAGGAAGCCCTCCCTAAACGCCATGCCAGGTCAGGCACTTCACCTCCCAGGACCGAGGGCGGGGGGGGGGGGCGGGGGGGGAGTGGCAACTGAAGCACAGGGTTGGGTTTTGGAAACCAAACTATCTAAGGATGGCTGGGCAAACCACCCGGGCAGTCTCTCCGCGGTCCCGCCCCTAACGCCTCTCAGTCCTGAGATGTCCCACCCATATTACTCCCGTCCCCCAAACTATTGGTTCGTCCGGACGTCAGTCTCCAAGCGCTCTCTTCCTCTACTGGCTGGTATTCCCCACTCGGGCGCTGGCGCCCTGCCCCGCCCCCTGCCCCACGCCTGTTCGTACTATTGGGCTACCCGCATGCCCTTCTTCCAGGAACCCTCCCTATTGGCTGCAGGACTTTGCCGGTTCAGGCTGTGATTGGTTGTAAACAGAAGTCCATCCCCTGAGCAACCACCAGAGAGGGGTTGGAAAATGAAAAGGTTGGAGGGACGTGGGGTCAAACTCACGCTGAGCCGGCGGGAGGCAGATATAGGTCTTGAAGAACTCGCTTCGGCGGGCGCCCTCCTTAATGCGGTTAGCAAGCGGCTTGCTGACCTGCCGAATGCCCAGGTATAGCAGCTTCGCCATAGGGAACGCGCCCACCACCATCTTGGCGGTCGCACGGGGCACGCGCAACCTTGCTGACTGGGCGGGGCGCCTCCGATCTCTCCCTCCTCCCCCGCCCTCTCGTCTGCGTGCGTGCGTACGTGCGTACGCTCGGGGGTGGAGCACTGCAGGGGCGCTCCCTGATGTCATCGCGTCGACGCTGACGCTTGGCGTCCGATCGCTGAATATGCAAATATAAGGCGGAAGTGAGGAGGGTCAGGGGGCGGTGCCGTTAAACGGCTGTTGGGAGCGTGGTTGAATTCCCACGCCCGCCTTGGCTGCTGTCACCGTGTTCCTTCGTGACGTCTTGTACTTAGGTGGCTTCCCCGCTTAAAGGAGGCTCTTAATTAGTCCTAATTAGGGCTAATGAGTACCAAATACGCTTTCCCCGCGGGTTAGAGCTCTCACTGGGAGTAAGAAGAAACCGACCATGTAGTGATACAGACCTGGATTGGGATCCCAGCTCCGCCGTTTACTTGCTTGTGATGTTAGGCGAGTGACGTAACCTTTCTGGGCATCAGTATTCCCGTCTACAAAATGGGAATTATAATTAACACCTTGTTGGGCAGTTGTAAGGCTTGCATGAGAATCTCGAATGTAGAAACAGTGAGAGAACCATGATAGGTGCTTAGAATGGTGCCGGTCACAATAAGCCCCCGAGAAACAGCCTTTATTGCTCTGCAGGTCTGAACGCTGTTATCGCTAACGCCAGCCTGAGGGTGCATTTCATCCCCAGAAATAGTGAATCCAGCCCTTTCCTGAGTAACTGACCAGCTGAGGCCCAGAGAGGGGGTCGGGGGCCGGCAGAAGGTTTCTCAGCCCGCAGAAGGTGATAGCCCGGCGTCTTGGCTGATAAAACCATACCCGTTTTCAAGCAGCCTCACTTCCTCCTCTGGTGGGCGAGGGTCCCCAGGGAGCTGGCTCAAGAAAGAGTTTAAGGACATGTCCCAGACTGTCCTCCTTTAGCCAGCAGGGAGCAAGATCATATAAACAAGGTCAGGAAGGGGTTGAGAGAAATTTCTGGATGGCGGAGTCTTGATGGGTAATTGAGAACGTCTAGGAGAGGCAGAAGGAGCGGGGAGGAGAGAGGAGCAGAGGAGCGGTGTGTAGGAGGAAACCGGTTCAGAAGGCAGAGTGGGGGGGGGGGTTTCCAGGGGACCCAGGGCTTTCCTCAGCATCCACTCGGAGTCCTTTAGTGTCCTTTGTCAAATCCCTGACACGGATGGACCATCGTTTCTCCATCAGTAATAATGATGGTACTGACATGCGTGAACCCAGATATTCTAAATTCCTTAAAATACCAAGACTCCATAAAAGGAACCCTTCCAGGGCGCCTGGTTGGCTCTGTCAGTTAAGAGTCCGACTCTTGATTTCGTCTGGGATCATGATCTCAGGGTCGTGAGATCGAGCCCCACAGGTCAGGTTCTGCGCTCAGCCAGGAGTCTGTTTGGGATTCTCCTTCTGTCCCTCCCTCTGCCCCCACTCTCTCTCTCTAATAAATAAATAAAATCTTAAAAAAAAAAACAAACAGGGGCGCCTGGGTGGCTCAGTTGTTAAGCGCCTGCCTTCGGCTCAGGTCATGATCCCAGGGTCCTGGGATCGAGCCCGGCATCGGGCTCCCTGCTCTGCGGGAAGCCTGCTTCTCCCTCTCCCACTCCCCCTGCTTGTGTTCCCTCTCTCGCTGTGTCTCTCTCTGTCAAATAAATAAATAAAATCTTAAAAAAAAAAAAAAACCACAACCCTTCCCCAAGATCCCTTCTGGACTGAAGGTGTGATAGAGCTTGGGGCCTATTCAAGGTCCATTATCTCCTTGGGACACCCCCCCTTCCCATTTTACAGACTGGCCAACTGAGGCCAGAGGAAGAAAAGGATTTATCCAAAGTTCCAGGAGTAATCAGAATGGAGCCAAGGCTGGAATTTCTCAAGTCCCAGCCAAGTCTTCTCCTGATTCCTGGGGTGTTAGTCAGGGGCCTAGGGGCCTACTCGGGGACTAGGGTCCCCATCATGGATTTAGGAAACTTCCAAACTGTACGTGACTTTTTTCCTGTTTATTTCACTGCTGTTTCCTCAGCTCCTAGAACAGTGCCTGGCACACAGTAGATGCTCAATAAATATTTATTGAATGAATGGGAATGAGCATTTGGTGGAGGAGTAGAGTTCAGGCTTTCATCTGATTCTCTGAGGGGACTGTGTTCCAAAAGGTTCTGGCCTTACATCTCCATCCCAGTAGCTTTATGGCTTTGGGGCGGGAAAATTACTAAGCCCCATAGATCCCAGGCTTCCCTCTTTTCTCTCCGCACCCAATACCGAAGCCCCAACTTCCTGCGTCTCAGTCACCTCCCCCTCCTGCAAAACCATCTTCCTCATTAGGTTCATTTTTTTTCTCATTACCCTCCTCCCTCCTCTTCCTTTCTCTGAGAAGGGTTTCCAGAAACCTCTTCTGGGAACTTCTGGGACAGGAGGGTGTGTGTGTGGGGGAGGAGGATCTTCACATCTCATCAGGAGCTTGGAGCCTGTTACACATCCATTGGGAGGAAGGGAGGGAGGTGACCTGTCAGAAAGGGCGAGGCCTGTCCAGAGCTGGGTGCCTGCTCTGGCTCTCCAGCCTGGTTATGGAAGGATGCCCATTCCTGGTGATCCCTGAGGGCCAGGAGAGAGGGAGCGTGACCCCATCAGCCAAGGCAGGCAGCCTCAGCCACCCTGGGGCATGGGAATAGAGGCAGAGATGGAGAGGGGAGAGGGAGCCCAGGATAACCCCAGCGCTGACTCACCAGCTGTGTGACCCTGGCCTAGTCATTTGGCCTCTCCGGTGACCGCCCTGGAATAGGGCCTGGGATCATTCCCAGAAGTCCTTCCAGTTCGGGCCCCCTGGTCAACCCTTTCCTCAGGATGGGCAAGGGGCTCGTGTTACATAATCCCAAAAGGCCCTGTGCTTCCTCCATCATTTTGAAGTATTCCTTCAAAATAAATCCCAAAGCTGACCACTGTTCCTTGCTCACCCCACCCCACCCCCACCCGGTTCAGCTGCCCACATCTCCCGCCTGGACCACTGCAGTCACCTCTTCCTGGCCTCACTGGCCTCCAGGCTGCTGCCCTTCCCATATTCTGTTTCCCACTCAGCGGCCGCAGGGATCCTGTTAACATTTAAGTCAGATCCCATCCCGCCCCTGCCAAGAGCCCTCCTGTGGCTCTCCTTTATTTCAGATTAAAAGGCAAAGTCCTCCCCAGTACCTACAAAGCCCCGATCAAAAGATCGGCCGGTCCCTTGCCAGTACCTTGCCAGTCCCATCAGTCATCAGTCGTTCCTCTCACCCTCCCGGCCTCCCCCTGCTCCAGCTGCACCACTCCACTTGCTCTCCCTCAAAACTCAGGTACTCTCTCACTCCAGAGGCTTTGCACTTACTGTTCCCTCTGCCCAAAGTCCTCTTCCCCCTGACAGCCACGGGGCTGACCCCCCCCACACACACACCTGCTCTTTGTTCCAGTGTCACCTTCCAGTGAGCCCTCCCCTGACCTCTAGATCCGAGTTCATGTCATTCTCTGGCCCCTCAATCGGCTTTCTTTTTCCCCAGGACACTTGTCAATTCCAAACATTATATTTATTTTTATTTCCTCGTTTACCATGAGCCCCATGAGGGTGGGGGCCTGGGCTGTCTCGGTCACCCTTGCGTCCCCAGCCCCAGCCAGCACAGGGCTGGGCCAAGAGTGAATATAAATAAATCTCTGTTGAATGAATGAATGAATAAATACCCTTCTCTTGTCCTGAGCCCCTTCCCAAGCCTGCCCTGCTCAGCTCTCCTCCAGCTGGTCTGCCCCGACTGCCTTTCACTTGGGTTCTGAGTCTGCCTCCCCCCTCAGTCCTGACTTGGAGAATGCTGTTTATCTAGAAACTCACACTCGCTCTTCTTGCCCTCACTCCCTTAGATGACTAAGGGCTTCCCAAGGGCGAAAATGACCACTCTACCCCTCGGTGAATTTCTTCTCCCATCTTCCCCTTCAGTCCCCAAATTTTACCTCCTTGTTGGAAATAATCCTTTTTTTTCTCTTTCTTTTTGTCGTTACCTTCTGGAAACCGAATATTTGACTTAATTTACTTGTCCCCTCCTCCAGGGAGCCCTCCCTGACCCTCAGCCTGGGTCAGATGCCCTCAGGGCACCCCTGCATGAGCCCCATCCGCTCTGGGTCATCCCTGTCTGGGGACAGGTCTGTCTCCCCCATTGGAGTGGGAGCATGTGAAGGAGGGCCAGGATTGTCATTCGTCACCGCTGTGTCACTAGCACCACCCAGCACAGTGCTAGGTACAGTTCAGCCAAATTGTTAGGGGGTCGTGGTAGAGGATGATGACCGAGCAGTGACCCACCAGCCTCACTGTTTTCCCGTTTTCTTCTACTCTTATGACTATGAACACGGCCTCATTTGCATACAGTTTGCTTACATCAGACCAGGAGGGAAGGGAGTGTGGGATAAGATTCGAGGAGTGAGGGGGTTCTGCACGAGTGGAGGGTCACTGTGCAGGCGGCAGCATCTTCAGCTGCACCTGGTCTGCTTGGGAGGGCGGAGCTGCCACCCAGCCAGCTGCCATGGCCTTGGCCATGCTGTTCCTCTTGGAAGTGAGCGGGGTCTCCAGGGTGAGTGAGGCGTTGGCCATCTCCTGTGGCTTGTCACTGGCCAGGAAGCGGAGCAGATTGTGTAGGGCCTTGGCCACGTCGCTGCGGGCCCCCTCGTTGACAAGGCAGTAGAGGATGGGGTCAGCCACACAGTTGAGGCTGGTGAAGGCCAGCGAGCTGTGGTAGGCCGAAAAGATGCGCTCCTCGAAGCCACAGTCCCACGGGCGGCCCAGGTAGACGGCACTACGTGAGAGCAGGAGCACGTGGTAGGGCGCGAAGCAGACCAGCACGATGGCGATGAGGCTCAGGGCCAGCCGCTTGATCTTGGCCTTCTCCTGGCGCTCCGTGGACACACTGCCCCGCACGGCCCGCAGGATGCCGCGGTAAGACAGCAGCATGAGGGCCCATGGGAAGAGGAAGCCCACGAAAACCCGGTAGAGGTTCATCCAGGCCACCCAGCCCTCCATGGGGAACTTCTCGAAGCAAAAGGTATGGTTGTAGCGGTCGCGGAAGAGCTCGTCGTGGAACAGGGGCGCCGAGTTGGCCCCCAGCTCCGTGGCCCAGACCACGGAGCTCACGGCCACAGCCGTCTTGACCCGGCGCAGGCGGGCAAACCGCAGTGGGTGGGCCACGGCCAGGTAGCGGTCCACCGAGATGCAGCACAGGAAGGCGATGCTGATGTAGATGTTGGTGTAGAAGATGAACCCGAAGAGCTTGCAGGAGCTGGGGCCGTGGATCCAGTTGTCGTGATGCAGGAAGTAGTCAACCCACAGTGGCAGCGTGCAGATGTACAGCAGGTCGGCGATGCTGAGGTTCATCAGGTACACCCCCAGCTCGTTGCGCTGCCGCACCTGGCGGTAGGCTGCCCACAGGGCCAGGCAGTTGGTGGGCAGCCCCACGCCGATGACGAAGATGTAGAGGGATGGCGGGAAGAGGTGGTCCACGCGCGAGTCCACGTGGCAGCCGTCCCACGTGCGGTTGCCCATCCTGGGCGCTGAGCCTTCTGAGGCACTTCCCCTGGCCCACGGGGGCTGTGGGGCCACAGGGGGCGGGAGGCCATCGGGCCCCCTGAGCCCCCTCCTTGGAGGCTCAGGGGAACATGGTGGGGGGCAGCCCACGGGGAAGAGGTGAGGGTGACCCTGAATCGTGGGCCAGCCTGGGCGGGGAAGGGTAGAGCTTGAGAGGGAAAAGTCGGAGGAAGGATAGAATTACGACAGGAGGGAGGCTCAGGGCAGGGGATGGTGGGATTAAAAAAAAGCTTTGTCAAGGGGGTGTTTATAGACCCAATCAGAGTGTAAATGAGGCAGTTGTGGGGTAGCACAAGAATTGCCTGAGGGGGGTGTTTATGGAGGAGACGAAGGCATCAGCGGGCAGTAGGAAGAGGGAGACATTTGTAGAGGATGCAGAACGTGCTGTGTGGCCACAGTGAAGTGATGGGGGGGGTGGAAGATGCGTGAAATATATGCAATAGTGTTGAGACAGGACAGACTACAGTTAGGGAGGGTGGAGAACACCAGGCAAGGTCAGTCGGGGCGCTGGCGCTTCCTAGGACCCCAGTAAGAAAGAAGGAAACAAGTTGACTGATGAAGAGAAGATTATGGAAAAAGAGGTACCCTCCGTCTGGGAAATGCGGGAAGGGTGTTTAAGAAACAGGAAGGAGGTGAGTAAGGGCTATTATGGAGGAGGATTACAGATGGAGTGAGGAATTTGAGGGGGGGCAGGGGGAGGGCTCCGGCTTGGTCGTGGTGGGAGCTGAGCAGCTGGGATGAGGTGGCCCGCCTCACAGTTCAAAGCTGACTTTACAGTGCCTGTGGGGAGAGAGGTCTGTGGTGATGGGAGTCACGGACACCCCCTTCTCCCCACACCCCTCACCGTAACCCGTGGGCTGCGGAGGGTGGACACCCTGGCGATACCTAATTGAGCCTCATTCTAAGCAACAGATCTGTGTAAATGCAGATTTGGGGGTCTGGATCTATTTTCCCTGATAGATGTTAAAGACCCCACTCAGGGGGCCCCTGGGTGGCTCAGTCGTTAAGCATCTGCCTACGGCTCAGGTCATGATCCCAGGGTCCTGGGATCGAGCCCTGCATTGGGCTCCCTGCTCGGCGGGAAGCCTGCTTCTCCCTCTCCCACTCCCCCTGCTTATGTTCCCTCTCTCGCTGTGTCTCTCTCTGTCAAATAAATAAATACAATCTTTAAAAAAAAAAAGCATATAAAGACCCCACTCAGAATTTAGCTAGAAACCATCTAAAATGCACAAGTATTTTATCATGCTTTGGGAAATGCTAACCCTGTCATTTCCCAGATGGAGATGAAGCTCAGAAAGACTGCTCGCTCCCATCAAGGATGCACAGCAAGGCCATGACATAACAGGGACTACTACTACTAACCCAGGACACCCCATTCTTGACAATGATAAGGACAGATAATAACAGCTAAGGTTTATTGATTTATTCTACATTGCAGACCCTGTTCTAAGCACTTTTATGGGTATTAATTCATTACATTTTCAAGAACCCTAAGAGGAAAGTACCGTTATCCTATTTGACAAACTGAGTCACAGGGCAGTTTGAAGACCTCTCCAAGGTCCTGATGATGACAGAGGGACAATCTCTGCTCTCACCCTTTTTCTCCAGCTTGTGCATGTTTCCACCCAAGAATAACTGAACAGAAAGGGGCCCTGGGCTTGGCAGTAGGGGCTGGGAACCATAGCTGCTTTGGGCTGGGGCGGGGAGGGGAGAGAGGAGGGGCTGCTGGGTGTGATCCCATTTGGGCAGCAAGGGGAGCCCTGGCAACAGGGCTGGAGTCCCTCCCTCAGGAACCACTTCCCTCATTGCCTCTGCTCCACCCCAACTTTCCTGAGTGAGAACCTTGGGCCTGTCACCCCCTTGGGAAGACCTGCAAACACAGGGCAAAGGACAGTCATGGACCAAACCCCCGACCATTGTCAGCCCCAGAGGGTAGGGGAGTGACGTCCTGAATCAGAGGCACCTTCGGAAGCCACTCTATCCAGAGCTTTATGTTTTTTAAACTGTGAACGCTTTTATTATTGTTATTATTACTATCTTTTTAAAATAAGATCTTAAACTGGAAAGCCATCTAAGTGGAAAAAAGAAGCTGCTCTGTGTTCTCAATGAAATCAGGTGGGAGGAGGGGGGCCACCTCCGAAGAATCCCCCAGGACACACTTAGAAAACCACTGGTTGAGTCAGCTGGATTTATCAGGAAACTGAGGCCCAGAGAGAGGAAGGGATGAGCCCAACGTCCCACATTGGGTTCTTGGGAACCTCCCAGATGCCAAAGCATCTTTCCATGGGAAAGTCCTCTTGGCTCTACATCCACAATAAACCCTGAATCCATGCATGTCTCTCGGAACCCTCTGCCAGTGTCTGCTCTGCACCACCATTGCCAATTGCTCGATTGCTTGGACCATTGCAGTAGCTCCTCACTGCTTTTCCTGGCTGCCATTCTGGCTTCCTTCAACTCACTTCCCACAGGGCGGCCACCAAGGTCTTGTTAACATGAAAATCAGCTCTCATTACTTCTCTGCTTGAAATCCTGAAATCCTGAAATCCTGAAATCCCAGTGGACAATCGAAACTCCTTGCCCCGGGTGATAAGGCACTGCTTGACTTCCTCCCCCCACCCCCCCTCCCCCCCCCCCGCGGGCTCAAGACCCATGACCTTCTTTCCAGCCTCAAAACCTTTGCTCTTTCTCAGATCTTCTTAGGACTCAGCTCCCTCACCTCCTTCACTTACCCGCAGAGTCCCACCCACCCACCCCCAGGGCTCTCTCCTCACATCACCTTGTATCTTGTTCCCATCTATCTGTCTGTCTGTCTGAAATGGACATTCCAGGAGGGCAGTAACCTTGTGTTGACTGCTGTCTCCCAGCACCCAGGAGAGGCCCAGCATATAGTAGACACTCAGTAAATGACTGTGGGTTGAAGGAACAGGCATTGGTCAGCCCATCCTGCAATGCAGGCTCTCTCTCCCCCTGAGGCAGCTACAAGTTCAAAGAAGTCCCTGCAGGGTCCCACGGAAAGAGGTTGGAAGGGAAAAAAAATGAAAAGGGCAGGATCTATCCACTACATAATTGACTTTGAAAGGTCAGGGCTGAGTCCCTGCTTAGTAAGCCCTACCCCCTGTGGGGTCCTTAGCAACTCAGCGGCTGCCCCCACCCCAGGCTGCCCCCACCCCAGACTCGCAGACAGAGGTTCCTGGATCCTGTGGACAAAGGGTGGAGACAGAGCTTGCTCCCTGGCTTGAACAGTGCAATCCAGCCCCTCCCTTCGAATATTCCCCACCCAGACCGAGTCACTCAAAAAAAAAAAAAAAAAAAAACCAAAAAACAGTCCTCTCTCTGCCCTCAAATCTCCCCTTCTCTCTGACCCCTGGTCTCCTCTTCTCTCACCTTCTGTCTCTCCCTCTTCTTGTAACATCGAGAAAATTCATTTTTTTTCGAGAGTCTCAGTTTCCCCTTCTGTATGGGGGGGGCAGAACTTTTATACTATTCACATCACAGACAAGAAAATCCTTGATAGGACATCCTATCATCTACAAAATGTGCAGCATTTGAACAATTATTATTATTCCATGGGCACAGGAGAGCTGAGACCAGAAAGGAACCAAGGCTGGGAGTTCCCTTGGCCCCACGCTGTCCAGACCCCCTGGGTTCAGCTGAGGCTGGAGCGGGTACAGCAGGCATAAGACTTATTTCCGGAAGCCAGAGGAAATACACTTCTCATGGCTAATTTCCTTGAGGGGGAACCAGCTGGGCGCTCACCTCACCCTCCTCCGTCCCTCCTCAACCCACCTGCTTCCTGGGGCTTCTGGGCATGAGGAAGGGGTACTCAGCCCTCTCTTCTCCCCACCTGAGATCTGCCCACCATCAAACCCTCAAAAGCACAGAACGGAGACCCTAAGAATTCCACAATGCCACAGGTCTCTGTGCCCCAACTGGGAGTGCAAGGCTATTTCTGACCCCTTCCTGGTACACGTGGGGAAACTGAGGCCCAGAGCAGCAAGACCCTTGTCTGAGTCATGTGATGTGTCAGGACCGGGCAGATCTCCAGTCTTTCTTAACCCAAGAGCTTCCCCTTTCCCTGAATGTTTTCTCTCCTCACTCCCTGTGCTCCTGTAATGTTTCTCAAGTCTTTCTGGGGTTGTCAGCCCCCTTTGAGAATCTGCTAAAATATACAAGGAAAGACTTTCTCACCACCGAAAAGCAAGTGACCACAGTGTCTTTGTGCCCCTCCAACACCTGACTCCCTTGCCCAGCCTCTGGGGTGTCCAGCTCCTCTTCAGCTTGAGCTTTATTCGGGATTCAACCCCCAAATCTTTGAAAAAGCAGCTCTCCCTATCTCCAGGGCCCCTTCTTTGGACCCTGCTAGCCCCTCCCAGGAAAGGGCAGAGAGATAAGCCCGAATGTGGAGTGATAGTGAGAGGACCAGAAGGACTGGTCAGACCCCGGCCCCCGCTTTATGCCTCAGCTGCTCAAGCCGGGTAAGTCTCTGGGCCACCCCTAAATCCAGCAAGGCTAAAGGACTCTGGAGGGTTGAGAGGACCAGACGGAGAGGTGATGCAGCCCCCCCCACCACATCCCTGCCCACCCTCAGGGTTCACTCACCAGCCTTGTCCTAGAAGCCACCAGACTGCCTCTCTGCCCCCCTTCCCTCCTCTGTTGGTTCCTGCTTACCGCCACCCCCTTGGCAGCCCCGGGGGACAGGCCAGCTCCGGTCTGCTCATTAGGGGACGAAATGTGATCACCGTGCCTCGCTCCCCACCTGGTGCCCTGGCGGCCGGCGGAAACCAGGGGGCAGTCAGGCCTCCGTGACCACCTTGCTGGGCCTCAGTTTCCCCATTTCTACCGAAGGAGTCCCCATCTCCCCCCCTCCCCCCGCTCCCACACCACCCAGAAGGGACACCAGGGTCCTCCTACTCGACCCCTCCGACACCGTCCATTCCAGCACTCAAAAAATCCTCAGG